TTTTTGCCTGAATTGGCCTCAAACTATAATCCTCCTATCTGTGCCTCCCAAGTAGCTAGAATCACAAGAGTGAGTAACATACCCAGCCCTGTATTTCCTTTATAAAAGAACCAACAGTTTCTTTCAGGAAGGACAAAAATTGGATTGTGGCAATGGTGCACAATCCTAAAAATATGAAGAAAAAAAACATTAAATTGCACTGAAATATGGCTGTTAACAATAAAGCTGTTAACAAAACAACAAAAACAATAGCCAGTAAATATACATGCCAATTTCCAAATTCAATCATTCTGTTAGAATCCCATATGGGGAAAAAAAAAGGAAGCCTTTCCTGACAATGTATTTTCTCACACAAGCAATCATCCAAGCCCTGTGTACACATATGTGCACATACAGATTTCTCATAAATAACAAAAATGTCATCTGCAGATGCGTCTCATTAGCACCATCCTCATTTCCCATCATTATGGGGCACTCTGTAAGCTCTAGTTAATTCCTATTATGCCGGTGCAAATTTATCTTGCCAGATATTAAGCCACCTGGCAGTTACAGGGAACAGCTTTGCCTGGAAGTAGCAGAGATCAGGGGATTGTGGTTTGAGGCTAACCCCAGGCAAAAAAAGAAGTCCAAGAGACTTCCTCTCCACCAATGGCTGAGCCTGACATGCCAGAAACAGCAAAGCCCATGTATGAGGATTGTAACACAGGTCAGCTTGAGAATTAAACAGAAAACCTACTTCAAAAATAACAACGCAGCCAGTGCTGTTGGCTCATGCCTGGATTCCTAGCTACTCAGGGGGCTGAGATCTGAGGATCATGGTTCAAAGATAGCCCAGGCAGGAAAGTCTGTGAGACTCTTATCTCCAATTAATTAACCATTAGAGAACTGGAAGTGGTGCTATAGCTCAAGTGGTAGAGTGGTATAGCTTGAGAAAAAAAGCCCAGGGTCCAAGTTCAAGCCCCACACCTAACCACAAAAAAAGCAGCAGCAGCAGCAGCAAAACAGGGATAGAGGAGTGATTCAAGTGACAGAGCGCCTGCTTAGCAAGCTCAAGGACTAGAGTTCAATCCCCAGTACTGCCATTAAAATTTTTAAAAAAAGCTGGTAGAATTTTGGCAGATCTTGATCATGTGATTATTAGAATTTTGTAGTATATTTAAAAATCCTATTAGTTTAATTCAACTGCCATTAATTTGGTAAATGAAAAAAAAAATTGGAAGGAAAGAGACAGTTTATTAGATAAGGCAGGGTTCTAAGACCTAGACAAGATGCATCTGAGCTCAATCAAAGAAGACATTTAGAAGGTATCAGGTACAGTACTTGAATCTGAATTAGCAGATTCCCCATAGGGGGTAAAGCAGAAAGCCCAGAAGTAATGTAGGTGAGAGAGACTGCTTGAAGGATTGTTTTATTAGGGTTCTAGTGAGTACCTTAAACTGTATTCAGCAGAGAAGCATCAGAAAGTGAGTGACGGTCTCATCAGTCAATTGAGTGGACATCGGATGTAGGACCAAGGATGGTACCAGAGGCAGCTCTCAGGTTTTGGATCATGACTTTGAAGCACCTACCTTCATGGTATGACAAAGGTACCAGCTGTCCTTATTAGCCAGTCAGTGCCCGTGGTTCTGGGACTGCTGGAAACTGGGCATACACTCTCCTTCCTCAAACCATTTATTTACCTTCTAATACAAGTACCTAATTCCTCGTATGAAATCCCTTTCTGCTTAAAATAGCTAGCTTGTTTCCTGTAGCTTGTTGCTGCGATTGAAGAATTTTAAAGTGGGAATTAACTTCTTTGGAGACAGAAGGTTCATGAAATATTCTGAATGCCCATTGCTCTGACTGGTTCTTGTAATGAGTGCACTGGGACTGCTTGAGAGAAAGAAGCTACCCCACCATCCCAAATATATTTCCAGGCCCAATTCCAGAGATTCTGATTTGGTCTAATTAGTGGAGCCCCGGAACACAATCTTTAAAACCGTCTGTGTTAAGACACTGTAGCATCACCATGACAAAACACCTGAGAAAAATCAACTAAGGGAGATTGCTTTATTTGGCTCACAGTTTTAAAGGTCTGAGTCCATGCTCAGCTAGCTCTGTTGTTTTAGGCCTGGGAGGCAGAAACACCATGGAAGGACATGTGGAACAAAGCTGCCTACAAAACTGTCAAGAAGCAGAGAGAGAAAGGAAGGGTTTGGAGATAAACACTTCTTCCAATCAGACCCCACCTCCTACTCACCTATTTAATAGGTGTCCATTGATGAAGTTGGTGCCCCTCCCTTTTGCCCATCACCTGGCAGCCAAGCTTTTACCACCAGCCTTTTGGGGATGACACTTCACATCAAACCACAGCAGCATCGCCAGCTTATGTCAGAGAGACAGCCAATGTGGATAGCAGTGGACTGAATGATTTCTTGACTCTGTAAACTGGTGCTCATAAAGATTCCTTCTTAGAAGGAAATGTTTAAGAGCTATACGTTTTTCAAGATTCCTCTATAGATGATTTACCTTTTCTTTGATTTCAAAGGATAAACTGTCACCGCTGCCAACATGTGGCAGTGTTACTAATGTGGGAGAACTGGTGCCTGTAAAACAAATAGCAGTAGAATTTACTGAGCTCTGGAGGCCAGGTGGTTAGATGGCAAGTGTTATTCCACTCTTCTTTGACTTCTATACCATCCTCCACCCTCTCCCAAATCCCAGTCCTCGTATCTATCCCTCTCTTCGTCATCTCTGATGACTTTTCAAAGTGCATGCTAATATATAGTTAGGAATATCACCACTGTTCCCTTATCTAATAGTATCTGCTAATTTGAAATTAATTAAGTCTCTGCACCACCATGCCCACCTCAACCAGAACTTTTATACAGCATTTTCTGGGGAAGTGAATGGGCACAATTGTAGAACACAACTCCTAGCCTGTAAGAGTTTATCAGTGGAGCAGCAGCGATCTAAGGAAAAACAAAAGGAGATGGCTCACATCTGTAATCCTAGCCACTCAAGAGGCTGAGGGCTGAAACTCCTGGTTCAAAGCCAGCCTAGGTAGAAATGTCTGTGATATTCTTATCTCCAATAGCTGGAACTAGAGGTATATGTACTCAAGTGGTAGAGTTTCAGTCGAGCAAAAAAGCTAACGATCTAGTGCAAGGAGTTCAAGCCTCAGTACTGGCCAACCCCCCACTCACACCCCCCCCCACATACATGAGAAACCACAAGAATTTTAGATGCTGCAAACAGAATATTTAAAACCAATATGAGCTGTAAACTACTTAATTTGATATAATGGTGGTGGTTCTTTTCTTAAAGCATAAAGTGTCTCCTTAAATTAATATATGGTAGCGTCTTGTGAAATAGCCAAGAGTCCATTTTTGCAATCAGCTCTTACTTAACAAAATACACAGAATGATTTCAAAACATGAGTATACAGAAAATTTCCCAGAGGTTCCTTGGAGGGGTAGGGGGGAAAGAGAGGTCGTTAAGGCAAACAAACTTATTCCTAACACAGGGATTCAGGCCAGAGAATACACAGCAATATGACAGAGATGGCCCTTAATTCGATCCTTTTGTTTTTTCCCTAAACAAACTACTTTTCCTACCAGACCTGGCGCTGTATTTGGGCTTATGTTAAGAATTTCCACCTCTGCGGATTCTGTTTTCTCTCACTGATTTTCATCTTTCAAACCACTCCTTCCCACTGTGCACTAGCTGCTTCTAATCAGGAGTCCACATGGGTTTTCTTACTTTACATATTTGCTCTTAGAAAATGGAAACATACACACTGAGTAAGTTTCTCTTTAGTTATGTTGAAAAAGCCTGGATCAATTTAAGTGGAAACTTTGCTTTCATTTCTTTCTCCAGCCCATCTACGTATGTTTAGAACTAAGTTGGGTACAATTTCCTTTATACAAAGTTCAACATGATAATCTATCATTTCCTTTATTACTGCGCGTACAAGTGGCTCTATACAGAAAAGAACACATCCACTTTCTAGAGGTGAAAGCTCAACTTCACAGACACTAGGTTAAGTGTCATTTCTCATAAGCACCAAGATAAAACAAAGCACAGAGTATGATCCCAAAAGGCAGCGGATGAGATGTTTCTGGAGTTCTCTGGACAGCAGTCTTGATCCCCTCAGAGGCTACAACTCTCCCAGGCCTTAGTCTATACACTACAGGTACACTACTGACTCCTAGTGTGACCTACATATCACAGTCAAATAAAGACCAGTGTTGGTTGATATTTCCCAGCTTCCAAAGTCTACTGCCTCTCCCCATGGGGGGGCTGGCTCCCCCAAATCCAGTCCCTATATCCCTATATTCCCCATTTTATTTGCTGACATTAATCTTGAGAACACCAAAACAGAAGTATGTGTTATACTGCTTGGCTTGTTAGACAGCAATTTTGACAAACACATTTTGTGCTGTCAAGGCCAAGGCAGGGCACCTGTAATAGGCAAGACCAACCCTTATTTTAAAGAAAGTAGGAGAACACAAGAGAAAACAGAAGTGGGAAAGTTATGCCCTCCTTAAGTTCAAAAGTAAATATTCCCTCTTGTACTTACTTTTAAACTTACAGCTTCTCTCTCATTATTGTTCTGCTGTTTTTATACTCCCTACATTCCCATAGGAGAATGGTTTGTCTGACTACACATACTATTTTAAAACCAGTAGTCTTTTTTCCCCATTATTTAAAAACATGCCACATAGTTTTCTCCAGTAACTGGAAAAGGACACATCAAAATATAAAACTTATGTTCTGCAACCCACACAAGTCTCCCATGCCAACTGCTAGGGGAAGACACACACAGGCCTGCTCTCTGTTCTGCTTTCCAGTAAAAGGATTTCCCTACCTGGGAAGTTTCCATATTTACAAGTAAGTAACAAACCTGGAGAGACAAGATATAACCTGCTTTGGTTGATCTAATGCCAAAATCTGGAAGTAGACTACAATATATCACTCCCAGTTAAAAAATCCACCCTTGGGGCTGGAAGGACGCCCACCTGGTGAGCACAAGGCCCTGGGTTCGGTACTCAGCCCTGGAAAAAAAAGAAAAAGAAAAAAAAAATCCACCCTTATACATAGGGCTTTCCACTTCATAGACTCTTGGATACAGATTAAGGTCATGGCAGCCAATGCCTTACAATATGGCAAGTAAATTCAGATCAGACTATGGAGAGAAGCAGTCACTCAGTTAATGATATGGTTATACCTCTCATATAAGACCAAATATCATTAGTGAAGCCTCTCAAAATTGTAAAAATACAGCACTAAAAGGATGAAACTGAAGAACAACACATGTATCATGGCTAACTAAGCTATGAAAAACAAATGAGTAGTACAATTCCTAACTCATATTGCATAATGAGCCTTCCACTAGGGTATGAGGTAACTAGACTTGACCCTTGTTTATCTGTCTAGATAAATGTGGTGATTATCTTTTCTCTCCACTGTTTCCTCAAACTAAAAGGCAGCTACAAGGTATGAAACTCTAAAACATGCAGGTGAAGAAGGCTTGGAACGGTAGAAGGGGCACAGGCCTGCCATGCATCAGGTGACAGCAGTCAGTGGCTTCATCAATGCCCTAAAGGATAAGAAATAGATCCTTCAGAATGGAGCACCGTGTAATACAATTCATTTGCTTCTATCAGTCAAAAGTCTCTGTCTAAAACAATGCCGATTCTTACCCATGAACTCTTGTGTCAGAAGTAAAAATGAAAAAAGGCTGCTCCCTAAGACCTAAAAGGAATCCTTCAAGCCTTTCTATTAGGGCTAAATAACCTCACTCATCCAATACTTACTGTGTCTTACCATGTCTTGAGCAGTTCCAAACAAAAAAGGACACAAAGATAGAAAGCACCAATAAAGCAAGCACAGGCTTTCTCTCAAGAGCTCAGAATCTGACACGAAATCTTAATCACCAGACCTATGAAATTCTTCCCTCCTTCCCATGTTTCTGAAGTATTTTGTACAAACCTCTATTACAGGGCATTTCACAATGTGACAGTGGCTGTTCACAAGCCTTGCCAGCCTCAGAACAAGACGACAAGCTTCATGAGGGCAATGAAAGTGCCCAAGCTTTATATCATTAGTCCAATACAGAACCAGCAAAAGAAAGTGCTCAAGAAACTTGCAGCAGAGTACCTAAAGTGAGGGCTACATAAAGAACATGCAGGGATAGAAGATGCCAAGGAGCTGAAGGGCAAAAGGAACCAGGGTTGGCCTATACACTCTAGGTCCTTGATGCTCTGAAAACTGCCCTATGTTGGGGCTGGGAAGGTGGCTCAGTGTTTGCCTTGCATGCATGAGGCCCTGGGTTCAATTCCTCAGCACCACATAAGCAGAAAAAGCCGGAAGTGGCGCTGTGACTCAAGTGGTAGAGCGCTAAGCCTTGATCTGAAGAGCTGAGGGACAGCGCCCAGGCCCAGAGTTCAAGCCCTAAGACCGGCAAAAAACAAAACAACAACAACAAAAAACCTGGCCTATAGCTAGTGTTACTACATTACCTGCAAGTCTCAGACCACAATCTAGACCTAACTCACAGTTTCCAGATTACCTAAGCAGATAGTCTATGTACACGGTGATGTTTGAGGACTACTGAGCTGAGAAATTTGAGTGGGAAAGCTACTGAGATTCAGGCAGCAGGAGCCAAAAGAAGAAATGTACAAAATGAAGCTTTTAAAATGGTGATGAACAAGTGCTCTAAAGATACAATGAGAATCATTATTTTTAGCCTAAGAAAACCAGGGGGGAATTCTGTTTAAAATCTTATGAACGAACTTCCTAATTCAAGTCTACTGGGTTTGTTTGCATCACTCTCACACATTTGAGAATGTTCATTCTGTGTCTAGTTACATCAGCCTATAAACCACAGAAAGGCACTTGGACAGTGTGCCATTATCACACTTAGTATCATTAAGTATGCTTCACCATTCAAACAGTAATGTGGTTCTTAAATATGAGCCAGCCACCAGCTGACCCCTATAAAGACAACACAGGTCCTGTCAGCTGCTCACACCATTCTCGCTGACTCTCACTGATGGCCTGTGGGAGAAAAAGTCCCATGGGGGGGGAGCGGGCAGAGTACCTCCAGACTGGCTGATGTGCAGTCAGCAATGAAGATACTCTCTGCGCCTTTGTGCTCCAGTCTGCTCTGCAACCCACTATGCCTTCCAACCCTCAACTTTATATCCCAGAAGCACTGCTTTAATGAAACTTTACACAATCTGCTGCCTCAGAAGTAAAGGAAGAAAGTCTGAGGGGCACTACATGCTGCAGTGAGTTGCTAAGTGAGGTCCTGTGGTTGGGAGAGGTAGGAAGAAGAGTTCAGTGTACTCCCAAGTGACCAGCATTAGCTATAAGAATAGGGGGCAGGGGGCACAGGGCTGGGAAGGTGGCTTAGTGATAGAGTGCTTGCCTAGCATGCATGAAGCCCTGGGTTCAATTCCTCAATACCACATGCACAGAAAAAGCTGGAAGTGGTGCTGTGGCTCAAGGTAGAATGCTAACCTTGAGCAAAAGAAGCTCAGGGACAGTGCCCACCCAGACTCTGAGTTCAGGCCCTACGACTAGCAAAAAAAAAAAAAAAGTAGGAGGGAAAATTATCTTTTGTTTTCTTCTTCATTTCAAAATTAACTGGATTTTCCCTCCTATGGGTCAAATTTACACCTCTGTCAACAATGATGGGGCCAAGTATTAGAACAGTCCTTAGTTTCTCAAATATTTTCAACATAATTCAACAGTTTGGAATAACATGGCTTGCTGATGCCTGACAAAAGATTTGGAGATCATCTTCACAGAAAACTATTTGGGGTTCTGATTAGACACAAAATAGTAAGAGCACAGAAGTTAAAGTTAAGGGCTGGGAATATAGCTTAGCAGTAGAGTGCTTGCTTAGCATGTATGAAGCCTTGGGTTCGATTCCTCAGTACCACATAAACAGAAAAAGCCGGAAGTGGTGCTGTGGCTCAAGTAGTAGAGCGCTAGCCCTGAGCACACAGAGGCTCAAGGACAGTACCCAGGCCCTGAGTTCAAGCTGTAAGACCAGCAAAAAAAAAAAAAAAAAAAAAAAGTTAAGGTTAAATCTTTTAGCCCTTAGCTAATATTTTTTTTTTTTTTTTTGGTCCGGTCATGGGGCCTGAACTCTGGGCCTGGGCACTGTCCCTCAGCTCTTCAGCTCAAGGCTAGCACTCTACCACCTGAGCCACAGCGCCACTTCCAGCTTTTTTCTTTTTGCTTATGAGGTGCTGAGGAATCAAACCCAGGGCCTCAGGCATGCAAGGCAAGCGCTCTACCACTGAGCCACCTTCCTAGCCCCCTTAGCGAATTTTTTTTAGAATTGAGAACCAGTACCACAGAACTATTATATGATAGCAAAAACAGCCTGAGCCACAAAAACTTCATTCTTAAATCCTATGAAACCTATCACCATTAGAGCAGGCTCAGGAAAACACATGCTGGTGGTGACATGGGACTTCCTCTACCTCACCCAGATGACCAAGGGAGGTCAAGGCTCCAGTAGCTGGTGAGCAGAATGAGTGGGGGAACTACGGAGTGGTGGGCAGTGATGGGAGTGTGAGATGACCTAGAAATGGACTGAGGCACAGGATGGCTGAAACTACCTCCTGGACAGTCACTTGTGCATTCTAACAAACACAATAAAAGGATAGCCAGCACCAAAACGCTGGTGCTGAAGCTACCAGAAAAAAAAAATACCAGAAGACCACTGCTCTTCAACAACTTCATCTTGAGGGGTAGCGAGAGAACAAATAACTGGGCAGGACAAAAGCAGGGAGCTGGAGGAGGTAGCAGGCTTTTGGCAAGAGGCCCTGAGCAAGGCAGACCCTGGGCAGGTGCAGAGGATGGGCCCTGGCATCCTGACCTTGCATCTTCCTTCACTTTCAACCTGGGTTTCTTCCTTTCCCTGGCGCTTAGCACAGAGGCTTCCCACGGCACCCTTGGAAGAGAAGAGGTTTTGTTTCCCAGGTCTTCTAATATATGCACAAAATGAAAGTCTGTATGCCTGCTTAACAATTATGAACATAGAAAGTTGAAATTAAGAGGGCCACAATACAAGTTAAGCTTCAAGGTGAGATTGTCCTATTTCACGAGACAGCTGTTGCTAGGGTTCCCACGTCACCCTGCACATCTTCCCTCCCCCTTTCCCTCACACACCGCCCCAGGATGTCAGAGCCCACTGCAAGCAAACTCTCACTCCAGCCTTGCTCTCACGTACATTATGTTTGATGATTGAGAGAATAATTATAGAATCCTTTTATTCTCCATATTTTTGAAAGATTGTACAACAAACACATATTTTTTCGGTAACAAGAAAAAAAATACCTTAAGCCAGATTGCAGGTGGATCATGCCCGCAATCCTGGCTACTCAGGAGGCTGAGATCTGAGGATTGAGGCTCAAAGCCAGCCCAGGCAGGAACATCCCTATGAGACTCTTTATCACCAATTAACCTCCAGAAAACTGCAAGTGGTGCTGTGGCTCAAGTGGTAGAACACTCATCTTGAGCTGAAGAGCTCAAGGACAGACAGCACCCAGGCCCAGAGTTCAAGCCCCACACAGGAAAAGAAGGAGGGGGAGGGGAAGGAAGGGGAGGGGGAGGAGGGGGAGGAGGGGAAGGAGGGGGGGAGGGGAAGGAGGGGAAAGAGGGGGAGGGGGAGGGGAAGGAAGAGGAGGAGGAGGGAAGAGAAACTAGTCCTAAAAATCATGAATCTGACGTTCTGCATATTTTGCCATAATTTCCAAAATAAATAAAAAGAACAGTCTCAAGGAATGCATTTTTATCTAAACAAGCTATACTTAACAGTACACATACTTTCCTCCAACATTTCGCAATGGTTCTAGCAATTAAAGCAAAAGACCATCTAGGGGCTGTGGGTGTAGTCAGCAGTACAGCCAAGTATTCAGAGGCCCCAGGCTCAATTCCCAGGACCCAAACAACAAACGGGGGGGGGGGGGGGGGGGGGGCGCGCGGTAGGGAGAAGGAAGGCAGAGGGGCAGGGAAGGGGAACTATCTAATTTCCTAACTGAAATACATCCAAGATGAACATCTGTACCAATTTTTGAGCTCTGGCTGGAAGGTCTAGAATGTTCCCTGGAGAAACAGTCACCAACCTCCTGTCTGGTGATGTAGGTAGCATCATTAGCCTAACACAGCCACCACCACCATTCACTGAATCCATATCATGTATTCACTGGATAGACATTACTGAAATCCTCAGAAGCCTACAAGGGGAGGAACTGTCCTCACTGTACAGATGAAGAAACACAAGACCACAAAGCTGGGAAGTGGCTAAAAGTCTACGCATTGCCGACCTGTGAGTAGTGCTGTTCTTCAACATCCGGTCCACTTCTCCGCAAACCACATGCACAAAACCTGGCTGCCTAGATAGACTGAAAGTTGCCCAGACATACTGAACACCTGCTCTACCTCTATAAATTCAGCACACTATCACTACAGCTGGATCTAGAGATCCAAATAGAAAAGTAGAAGCTGCAACTCCTCCTATGTCAGGGTTTAGTCCTGGGCATTCATTCACTCTAAAGCAAAAATGACTTCAGTGCCCTG